GGAGGAGCTGGGCTGTCCGGGGGGTGCGGGCTGTGGACAATGGGTGTGAGGAGAGCAGAGTGACCGGCAGGAGCGCAGAGGCAGGGGCGCCTGGGCTGAGCGGGCCCCGGGTCAGGTGAGAGCGCCCTGGGGAGCAGGTGGGAGGGTGGGGGGGCATTGGCAGTGGCCGGGGACGATGAGTAGGTGCGGCAGGCAGTTCCAGCAGGATGGCCCCTCAGAAAGGCCATAGGTGCCGGTGGTCTCTCTGGGGTTTCAGGACTGGAGTGAAGGTGGAGGAAACAGCAGCTCTGGAGGCTGCAGTGCCTCTGAGACAGGACCACGGAGGACTGTGTGCTCTGTGCTCGAGCTGTTGTTAGCTCACCTGGAACACAGCAGGTGCTCTGTGAAGGCTTCAGGATGGGAAGCCCAAAGTGCAGACTTTTGAGGTGTTTGCTAATATACGAGAAACAAGACTGGGGCGGACCATTGAACCCAGGGCCTTGCCCATGCTAGGCAAGCACTCTACTTCTGAGCCCTTTTTATTATTTTTTTCCACAAATAATTATATTTTATTGTAGAAAAAAATCCCTTAGCATGGTGGTGCATGCCTGTGATCCTCACACTCGGGAGGCTGAGGCAAGAGGGTCGATGCAAGTTTGAGGCCAGCCTGGACCCTGAGTCAAAAATAAATCAATAAATCGATGAATAAAATGATGCAGACACAAACTCAAGATTCTTAACCTCAAATTCAGATTCATCTTAGCTTGCTGAGACGCTGTGGATAAACATCTTCTTATGAAAATGTCTAAACAGCCCTTGTGAGTTTTTATTTGGAGACACTAAGTTGCCCATGTCAGCCTCCAGCTTGCCATTCTCCAGCCTCAGGCTCCCAAGTAGCTGAGATTCAGGGACCTTTGAGGCAGGTGTCGTGATACTTGCCTGTAATCCCAACACTAGTAAGCTGAGGCAGGAGGACTGCAAGTTCTGCTCAGGCTGGTCAATTTATTATGACTCAAACAGTCAGAAAAGGGCAGGGGCTGTAGCTCAGTGTAAAGGTCCTGGGTTCAATCCCCAGCAGTGAAAAAAAAGGTGAGAAAGGATTTTTGGCTGATCAGACCTTCTTAGCAAAGCAGGAGGAGAGCTAAAGACCAGGAGCTTCAAACTTCTCCTACCCTTGGGAGAAAGCACCCCCAGTGTGTTCATTTATTTGAACCCCACATAGCTCCTCCTCAGTAAACAAGGAGGGCCTGCCAAGGACAACAGGGTGGGTCAGGGAAGTGGAATGCAGGCAGCCCCGGACCCCCAGTTGGTAGCAGTGGGCACCCAGTAATGCGGAAAGCATTCATGTTGGACCTAGAACCCGGGATCCTGGTCCTTCCTACTTGGGGTGCGGATGAAAAGAGAACCGTGCTTAGTCTGGGCCTTTCTCAGCCCTTGATATTTCTGGCTGCCATCGTTGTTTTTGTTTAAGGAAAATATTCAAATGCATTTGAAATCTGAAGACAACAGCATTTGCAAATGGAAAGGCACTGTACAAACGCCAGGCCCATGGTCTCCGGAGTGGCCTATGACAGTCCTGAGGGCTTGGGGAGCCCCCTCCCCCATACTCTGCCTTCACAGGCCCACCCAGCTGTGCTGCAGAAAGGCCAGGTGCTCTGGACCCCAGAGACCAGCTCGTCCCTCTGAGTCCCCTGTGACCTGCAAAATGAACTGATTCATGAGGTGGAGCCCTGGATTCTCAAGTCACTATCAAGACCCTTCCCTCTTAGCCACAGGCCCTTTATACTCTCAGATATTCCACCTCCAATGCTTGGCTCTCAGAGGATTACTTAGGGCCATGGTGCCATGCACTTATAATCCCAGCTACTTGGGAGGCTGAGGCAGGAGGATTTCGAACTCAAGGCTGGCCTGAAAAATTTAGCAAAACCCTGTCTGAAAATTGAAAGGGCTGAACCTGATCTTTGACAAAGCGGCCGAACACCTTAACTAGAAGAAAGGTAGCCTCTTTAATAAATGGTGTTGGGAAGACTGGCTTTCTACATGCCGAAGATTGAAACTAGACCCATATCTTTCACCATGCACTAAACTAAAATTGAAATGGATCAAAGGTCTAAATATTAAAACAGAAACACTAAATCTGCTGGAAGAGATAAGTAGAACGCTTGAGGTCATAGGAGTTAGGTGTAGGCAAAGACTTCGTGAACAAAACCCAGACCACACAGAAAATACCACAAAGAATCAACAACTGGGACCTCATCTTATTAAAAAGATTTTGCACATCAAGAGAAACCACCAACAGACTGAAGAGAAAACCCACAGGGTGGGAAAAATTTTTACTAGCTATTCACCAGATAAAGGACTACTATACTACCTAGAACATATAAAGAACTCAAAAAAATTAGATCCCCAAATTTAAAGACCCAATACAAAAATGGGCACCTGAAATAGAAAGACGCTTCTCAGATGAAGAATTGGAAACAGCAAATACATATATGAAAAAAACGTTCAACATCATGGGTCATTCATGAAATGAAATGCAAATTCAAACAACAATGAGATTCCACCTCACGCCGGAAATGGCTGCTGTCATGAAATCAACCAATGACAAATGCTGGCGGGGCTGTGGGGAAAAGGAGCCCTCTCCACTGTTGGTGGGAGTGAGACTGGTGCAACCACTGTGGAACTCAGTGTGGAGAGTCCTCAAGAAACTAAAACTAGAGGTTCCATTTGACCCAGCTATACCTCTTTTCGGTATCTTCCCAAAAGAATTAAAAGCATCATTACCACAGCAATATATGTGCACCCATGTTTATAGCAGCACAGTGTGTAAGTTCTAAATCTTGGAAACAGCCCAAATGCCCATCAACTGACGAGTGGATAAAGATGTGGTTTTTAATACAATGGAGTACTACTCTGCCATAAAGAAGGATGAGCTTCAGACATCTGTAGCTAAATGGATGGACCTTGAGACCATGCTCCTAAGTGAAATAAATTGGACTCACGTGATTAAATACCACACGGTTTCTCTGGTGTGAGAAATCAAAAGTGGAAATGACTGAAATGCATAACGAATATTGACAAACAGGAACAAAGTCGTCAAATGGGAAGGGGAATGAGGGAGGAGGAGGGAGACAGGAAGGAAGGGACAAGAAAAAAGTGAAAATAGAAGGAAAAAACTATACATAGGAGGGGGAGGGGGTTTTAAGGGGGGATGGGATAAAATAAAATAAAATTTACTCAGGCTGGGGATTTAGCTCAGTGGTTCCAGCGCCTGCCTCACAAGCACAAGGGCCCAAGTTCAATCTCTGGTACTGAAAATAAATAAATAAATGAATAAAACTTACTTTAAAAAAATTTGAAAGGGCTGGAATGTCCCTGTCTTCAGTACAGCACACTTACACCCACACTCAACTACCCACACACACAAGGGCCACTTCCTCTCATGCGTGACAAAACAACAGATGTGAATTTTTAAAAAAATTTTTTGCTATTTTGTGGTACTGGGGGTTGAACCCAGGACCTCACATATGCTAGGCACGCACTGTACCACTGAGGTACATCCCTAGCCTCCTCCCGCCATTTTTAGGTTTTTTGGGACAGGGCCTCATTGCGTAGTTCAGGCTGGCCTTGAACTCACTATGTATGCCAGGCTGGTCTCGAACTCACAGGGATCCTCTTGTGTCAGCCTCCCAAGTTCTGGGATTACAGGTGTGCGCCACCACACCTGGCACCAGCCCCTTTTTAAAGGTCATTTTAAGACCGGGTCTTGCTACGTGGCCCATGCTGGCCCTGAATGTGCCATCCTCTTGCCTCAGCCTTGAGTCACTAGGATTACAAGCCTGGGCCACCACACTTTTCTTTCCAACGTGATCGTCAGTGAGGCGGAAACATTACTCAAAGCGAACGCGTATCAAACATTTCACTGTGACAGGGGCCCACGAGGATGGTTGAGCAAGTCAAAGGAGGGGTCTGGCAGCTCTGAAGCGAGGATAGAAGGCTCTGGAACCGGCTAACAGCCTCAGGGCAGTGAAGCCACAGCCTTGGGGATAACACCGAAGTCTCTGTGTCCGCAGGTTCCCTTGTCATCTCTGGGCTTGGTCAAGGACACATTTTCCTAAAAAAGAGCGAATCTTTGGATGGGCCTGTTAGCCAGTGTGACACCGAAAGGACACTGAGACAGCCTGTTGCCTTATTTCCAAATTCTGGATAATTTTTCTTAACTCATGTGGGGCAAGCGTCTACACACAGGCTTTGGGAGGCCTGTGATGGAAGATGCTGACCACTCTTGATGTCTGCGTGCGTGTGCATGGCTATGGGAGGGGATCTGTGGCTGTCATCGGGCTGCCAAGGCTCAGTGTTGTCTCCTGCCTTCCTCACCTCATCCTGCAAAGAGGAAAAGTTGGCTTCCAGACACCTCAAGAAGATCACATCCTTCCCTCTCCATCCTGAGCTCCCCATGTCCAGGCAGCTGGCAGCATGGACAGAAACAAGGCTGGCCTGGCTCTGGCTATAAGCAAGTCAAGATACTGACTTTCTTCTTTGTTTTATGAGTCAGGGTCTGTATATGGAGCCCAGGCTGGCCTCGGACTTGCCAGAATCTCCCTGCCTGAAGCTCTTGAGTGCTGGCATTACAGATGTGCACCACCACACCAGCAAGATGGTCTCCTAACAGCATCTACTAAGTCATTTCCTGCTCTGTGCTCCTCGTACTGTAAGATGAAAGGAGGAAATTCAAGCTAGGCCAAACAAGCACTCTCTGGGTGGACCATGCTGGCCAGGGCCTCAAGGTAGTTTGAGGTTCCAAAGTAATAATGGAGTCTTTTGAATTACTGTGATCAATTTAAAAAACCCTTGTACTTTGGGAGGCTGAGGTGGGAAGACTGCAAGTGTGAGCCCAGCCTCTGTAATTTCATGACTTAGCAAGACCCTGCTCAAAATACAAAATAAAAAAAAAGGGCTGGGCATGTAGCTCAATATGAAGGCCCCGGGTTTAATCCCCAGTTCCAGTCAATCAATCAATCATCAATCAATCAAATAAATAAAATTTAAAGCCTCAAAGAGATCTCATGTGCATCTGAAATTGACTGGTATGAATCAAAATGTCCAATATTGGGCCAGGGATTTAGCTCAGTGGTTCTACCACCTGCCTCACAAGTGCAAGGACCAAAGTTCAATCCCCAGTACCAAAAACCAACCAACCAACCAATAAACAAAATGTCCAATGTTTTTGCTCTCAGCAGGCAAGACATCATATCTTGGAAGTCAAAGTACTTATTTTCTTTTCCAGTACCAGGATCAAACTCAGGACCTTGCGCTGGCCAGGCAGATGTGGTGCCCCTGAGCTACATCCCAGCCCACAGTCATTGTACTTATTGAACCAACTGAACCTCCTGCTGATGATAACTGAAGCTGGTAATTGTACCATGCTGCTGATTAATAAGCAAGGAAATAAATTAGTCATCACTAATTGTACTAGTTACAGATAGATGTGCTTTTGTTTTGTGTGTGTGTGCACATGCATGTTTGTGTGTGTGTGCACGCGTGCGCACACGTGTGACTAGGGACTGAACCCAGAGTCTTTTACACTGAGCTACATCCCCAGCTTATTTTTTATTTTAAGACAGGGTCTCACTAGGCTAGGTTGCTAAGTTGCCCAGGCTGGGCTCGAACTTGCAATCTTCCTGCCTCAGCCTCCCAGAGTACTTGAAGATAGAACTTTTTAAAACATGGGTTCCATGGAGGTAAAATAATCACAGCTGGAGCTTAAATGGTTCCTACAGTCTACCTAGGAATGCTTGGTACACTTCCTAACATTCGTCATGTTATCTTTCTTACCGATCTCCAAGACAACTTCTGCTCTTCCAATTTTCAGATGAGGGAACTGGGTACACAGAGGTCTTAAATGTGCTTCAAGAATAAGTGGCAGAGTCAGAATTTGAGCTCAGGCCAAGTGGTTCTGGAGTTTGTGCTTTCAAGTTCGAGAATCTTCTTCCCAAATACATAAACTAAAATGAAAGAAAAAGGAAATGGTGATTAAAAAGGTTGCTTGTTTGTGCCCTTGTCAAATTTCCTCATTTATTCACTTTCCTTTCCTTTGCTCCTCCGCTCCTTGAAATCCTCCTGCCTTAGCCACTGAGTGCTAGGATTACAGGTAGGCACCACTGTGCCTAGCTCAAGGCCTTCATATTTTTAAAGTGAGAAAACTGAGGCTCAGGAAGGCAACAACCGATCCAGGCAGCTGCACCGTGGGGCCCCCAGGCAGGCATCCCCCCTGTGGCCTTCGCTGTGCCACAAATGAGCAGTCAGGGTGCTGGGAGCGCAGGACACAGCTGTGAAGGCGCCGGGGAAGGGCCTGGCCAGGACACACGCTCTCACCCTCCTGGGTGCTCACAGGTTACCAGGTCACAGGGCAAGCCTGCTGGGCTAAAGTACACAGCTTGTTCCGAGGGCCTTTCCCATGCACAACTCTGGCTGTCTTAGATTTGCTTTCCTTGCATCACCTCTCTGTCCTCGTCAACCCCAATGATGCTGGCGGGGCAAACATTGCCTCTGCTATTTACTTACTCAAAGCTCTCAGAGGGACCAGGGGTCAAGTTCAGGGGACTCCAGGCTTTGGGGAGGGAAGGGAAGTGCAGTGCCTGAGATTACAACATCATTTTCTATGGAAGAGGGAGCTGAGTTCCAATAGACCTTACACACTTTGGATCAGAGCCTTCTGGGAGCTGCCAGACAAGACAGTGGGGCTCAGCTGTCCTCTGGGCGGGCCACTGGCTTTCCACACTTGGTGTCATCTATTCAGGTGGGATGATGGTATCGTGGTTTTCCTTTCTGTGTGTGTGTGTGTGTGTGTGTGTGTGTGTGTGTATTTGCAGTTACCTTATTTACTCATTTTTAAATACTTGGGGCTGAGGATGTAGCACACTAGTAGAACACTTGCCTAGCATGTACAAGGCCCTGGGTTCTGGATTCCATCCCCATCACTGCCAAAACAAACAAACAAACATCCCCCAAAAGAAAGCACACACCCTCCCTCAAAAAACAAAAACCAAAACAACTAATACATACCATACCACACACACACACACACACACACACACACACACACACAACTTGCATCTTAGAGATCTATACTCAAGACTTGGTAGACATAAGCCAGCCATGTGCAGCCCACCTCTGAGCCTCACTACTCAGGAGTCTGAGGTTGGGGGAATCAGAAGTTTAAGGCCAGGTAGGGCAACTTAGCTAGAACCTGTTTCAAAATTTAAAAACAAAGGGTCAGGATGGAGCTGGGGGCATAGTCGCTCAGCACTGGAGTACTTTTCCTAGCATTAGAGAGGCCCTGGGCCCAATTCCTGATGCAAAAGAAAGAACTGCTAGACAAAAGAGACAAAAATAGGAACTCTGAGCTTACTTTAAAGTAATCAATAGGAGGCTGGGCAGGTGGTACAGGTGGTGTAGGCCTGTAGCCTAAGGTACTTACTTGCAAAGCTGAGACAGGAGAATCTCCTTAGCCCAGGAGTTCGAGGCCACCCTGGGCAACATAGTGAGAACTTGTCTCATATAACAGAAACATAAACACAAAATTAAATAATCTGGGCTCAGTGGTACATATCTGTCATCCCAGCTACTTGGGAGGCTGAGGCAGGAGGGTTACAAGTTTGAGCCTAGCCTGGGCAATTTAGTAATACAGCAAAAAATTAAAAAGTGCATGTGTGTAGAGGGCTCAGGATGGAGTTCCATGTGAAGGCCTCAGGTCCAATTACCCAAACATAAAGAAATAAAAATTTAGAAAATATAAAAAGGTCTGGGGATATAGCTCAGTGTGAGATCCTGGGTTGAATCCTCAATACCACAAAAGATAAATAAAATGAGATAATCAGTTGCAGTGGGGGAGAGCGGGCCAGAGCATAAACATACACTCCTGGCCCTTGCTTGATAATTGCTGAGTTAGCATTTAGGTTGTATATATTGTCTTTATTATATTATTCTTATTAATTTGTAAAGGTTTACATTTTTTTTTTTTTTGTACCGGGGACTGAACTAGGGTCCTTGCGCTTGCAAGGCAGGCCACTGAAACACTGAGCTAAATCCCTGGCCCTAAGGTTTAAAATTTTTATTAAAAGGTATTTTAGAATTTAAAAAGTCTCAGTGATTAAAAAAAATTGCATGCATTTAAAAAAAGTTTTCTTGCCGGGCATGGTGGCGCATGCCTGTAATCCCAGCACTCAGGAGGCTGAAGCAGGAGAATCAGTTAGTTAGAGACCAGCCTGAGCTACATAGTGAGTTCCAGGTCAGTCTCAACTACATAGTGAGACCCTGTCTCAAAAAAACAACAACAACAAAAAAAAAGTTTTCTTGTTTGTTTGTTTGATTTGGTTTTTTTTGAGACAGGGTCTCACTATGTAGTTGAGATTGACCTGGAACTCACTATGTAGTCCAGGCTGGTCTCGAACTCACACTGATCCTCCTGCCTCAGCCTCCTGAGTGCTAGGATTACAGGCATGCTCCACCATGCCTGGCCTAAAAAAAGTTTTCTTAGTCTCAAAAAAGTTTCTATAATAGGCAGCTGCTAATATATATATATATATATA